CCCAGTAGAACCTTCTTGTTCTGTAACTGGAGTCTCTGTTACCGGAGCGGGCTGCTCTGGCTCAGGCTGCATCGTAGCACTTCCCTCTGCTGTGCCTTCCTCGTCAACTACCTGCTCTTGATCTTGCTCCCCAGTAGAACCTTCTTGTTCTGTAACTGGAGTCTCTGTTACCGGAGCGGGCTGCTCTGGCTCAGGCTGCGTCGTAGCACTTCCCTCTGCTGTGCCTTCCTTGTCAACTACCTGCTCTTGATCTTGCTCCCCAGTAGAACCTTCTTGTTCTGTAACTGGAGTCTCTGTTACCGGAGCGGGCTGCTCTGGCTCAGGCTGCGTCGTAGCACTTCCCTCTGCTGTGCCTTGCTTGTCAGCTGCCTCCTCTTCACCTTTTTCCCCAGTAGAACCTTCTTGTTCTGTAACTGGAGTCTCTGTTACCGGAGCGGGCTGCTCTGGCTCAGGCTGCGTCGTAGCACTTCCCTCTGCTGTGCCTTCCTTGTCAACTACCTGCTCTTGATCTTGCTCCCCAGTAGAACCTTCTTGTTCTGTAACTGGAGTCTCTGTTACCGGAGCGGGCTGCTCTGGCTCAGGCTGCGTCGTAGCACTTCCCTCTGCTGTGCCTTCCTTGTCAACTACCTGCTCTTGATCTTGCTCCCCAGTAGAACCTTCTTGTTCTGTAACTGGAGTCTCTGTTATCGGAGCGGGCTGCTCCGGCTCAGGCTGCGTCGTAGCACTTCCCTCTGCTGTGCCTTCCTTGTCAGCTGCCTCCTCTTCACCTTTCTCCCCAGTAGAACCTTCTTGTTCTGTAACTGGAGTCTCTGTTACCGGAGCGGGCTGCTCTGGCTCAGGCTGCGTCGTAGCACTTCCCTCTGCTGTTCCTTCCATGTCTTCTAGCTCGCCCTCGCCTTCCTGTTGTGGCGTCTGTGGTACGGTAGCGGGCACCGGCTGGAAAGATTCTGGCTCCTTTTCGCCAGTGCGATCCCACGGGAAATAGGGTTGACGCACAGGTTTGTATACTAGAGTTGGAATACGCTGCGGCTCCCTAGAACTTTCAGCTTCGTCGGCGTGTTCGGGTGTACCTTCGGAGGGAGAAGCCGTGTCTTCTCTAAGGTTTTTCAATTCATCCTCTTCGCTATCTGATAAGTCGAACTCCTCCCCACTCTCTTCTTCTTCTGCTGCTTCTTCGTCTGCTTCGGGCACAGTGGATAAGGGACGTGGCACAGGCTGGGGTTCTATGGGTAGATATCCTCCAGTTTCATCAGGACCTTGAATTCCCAACTTCACAGGCGCAACAGCAATCTGCGAAACAAACGGCGGTACCTGTGTTTTACGCCACATCGAAAACAAACGGCCCTTAAAAGTAAGCCCTCCATAACAACTACAGAGTCGTATAGATACAACCTGGCTCGCCACTGTCATTTTGACGTCATTTTGAGAGGCACCGAGAGCAAAGGAACAAGCCACCAAACCGATGAACAGACAACGCCAAAAGCATGCACAGCAGCAACACTGGCATCGAGGCCCTAACCACGACCAGCATGATGCGCATCAGCTTCACGTCAACTTCGGACGCAACAGCAAGCGTGTTGTTCTAAAATAAGTGCTCACACTTACCTCAGGAGTCAATTCTTCCACACCTGGCCCGGGAATTTCCGGAGCCTGAGGTGGCGGCCAAACTATTGGCTGGGGAGGTTCTGGAATAGCCTGGGGTCCCCCCGTTACTGGAAAATGTTCTGGCTCCTCATGTTTTTCTGCCTCCTCTAATGGCTTTTCTTCTACAACAGCCGGGAAGGCGGTCGCTGCTGGTCCGGGAATTGTCGTCGGTTCTTCAGGAGCAAAATCGACGGTTGGCTCCGTTGGTCCCTTGTCATGTGGGGACGGAGGCCTAGTCGGGGATTCGAGTCCTTCATCAGGCTTCTCTGGGGGAGGAAAGAGACTTTCTGCATCCCAGCAAAGGCATAGCAATGGCACAGTCGCACTCGCCTTGAACTCAAGGGGCTTCGTGAGCAACGCTCATTGGCCACGTGGTAGTGGTGGCAACTAAACACGTCAATTGCTCACCTGGAATAGACGGGGCTGGCGGTGGCTCAACAGCCTTTGGAGCAGAAGGTTGGAGTTTTGGCCTTAGCGCCACCAGCGCGCCGGCAGCGAAGGCGAGTATAGCAAGGAACAACAGCTTCCCTTGAGGCTTCTTGGCGGGTAGTGATTCATCTAGCTTTTCTGATACCAGTATAGGAGCCTCAGCTTCAACATCAGGAGGTGAAGTCAATTGCACGGGTTCCCCCGCAGGCTCCACCTCGGGTAGCTGCTCCACCACAGACGGCTCCATCGGGCCCCTGGATCGAAGGTCAAACAACCTGTGACTCAACGTTAAATTGTGGACAAAATTGGGAAAATTAGGAAACAGAACTGTTCTTTAAGATCTTCTCCTTGCGGGAACTACGAGATGAAAAGAGTTTACTTCATGAATGCTCGTGGTAGGAGCGGATGCAAGAGAAACAGCAAGCTCTGGAGTTGCAGTGTTTTGGTCCCCTCCTCCATACAGCTCGAGCAGGAACTGAAACTGCCTTCCTTAAGAGCAGCTATGTATCTTGGAAGAGAGAAAAAAGGTAGATGCCCCGACCGAAGTGGAACCACATGGGCTGCTGTTGCGCACCCGTGGGAGCGGTGGAGACATGGTGGCTGCAACGGTGGCATCTGCGTAGCCGGGTATATCAGCCTCTTAAGTTGTCCCCATTTAACCTCCCCCCGTGCCCCCCTCCACCCTACCAAAGGGACGGAAACACCAAAAATAAATAAAAATCTTCGACAGACGCATCTCAAAATACAAAATTCCCCGAGCCCAGGGCCAAAACTCTTCCTCCTGTGCGCTCGGGAACGGCTAATCTAGCCCACGTTGGCGAGCATCTGAAGTTGGCTCATGGCCCCTTATTCGGGCTTACCAGTTAGCTTTTGTCCAGGCAGAAGTCTTCAGCAAATGTAACATAGCCTGCACAACGATGACAAGTATTCCGAGAATCATCGATCTTATCCAGGTGCACAACGAGTCCTTGATCTTGCCCAAGGGGTATGATGAGGTGCACTGGAATCATAATGCATGACACAAAAGTTCTGTAACTGCAGGTGGCCTTCATTCCCCGTCTCCAGAACTCGTAGGAACAGCCGCCTAAGGGCAGAGAGCGGCGGAGAAAATTGATGGGGAGTAGTCGGTGGGATGTTAGCAAGACTGTCGGAACTGGTCGCCGAACTCCTTACCCGGCACTAAACAACAAATTCTAGGCAATAGAGTGTGGATACATACAGCCAGGAATGCCAACTTGTGAATAAATGAGAGGTTGCATTGCAAGTGTTACAACTTGTGGCAGGCTATCGTCTCTACCCCAGCGCCAGGGGTTGGAGCCGCTGTACTGAGGACGACTGGCTATTCGGCAGAGATTCCAGTTGCATTTTACACCTGTCTTTAAGTATTTTGGCTCCATTACAGCTCGCAATAGTCTTCAGATGCAGTCGGACATCCCGCCATAGAGTGCATAGGAGGGTAACTAATATATCGCCGCAAAAGGGCTAGATGGCGCATGAGAGCACGTAGCTTGCTAAATGTTTGCTTTTCATTATTCGGTTAGCTGAAACGTTTGTTAGACAATCAAAGAAGGCGTAACCATGTTCACGAGGGGGTCCTCCCCGCCAAAACAGCCTTGAAGGTCAATTCGGGTTTCCGATCTGCTAGCCGTATACAGCAATATTCCGACTTGTTCCTGGCGTCTTTGCACTGTCTCATGAGTGTTGAAGCCCTCTGTCTCCTACAGTTTCTGCATCTCGCAACGGTGTTGCAGACTTTTGCTTGTAGTGACCAAGGGAAGCAAGATGGTTACCTCACGATTTTAGTATATCAACATTGATGGTACGATGACATCCAACAGTTAACTGTACATGGGTTACGCATGCCACGGCGCTGACTCCGGAAAGACCAGCAAGGCCCTTTCGGAACCAGCATATTTCTTCGGCTGCTTGCTCCCGTGCGCGCTTTGGAGGACGTAGGAACCGAAACGTAGTATCCTGAGTTGAGAACGCTTGCTGGACGTCGTTTGCTGTAGTTGCTTGCTGTTCCTGAGCTTCGCCAATTAAATCCTTTGATGACGCGAGGTGACTGTGAAATTGGGAAGCGGAGAGCGTCCGGGGCTGGCTTCCAGCAGCCAAATCTAACATAGTGTATGCCAAGGATGTCTCTAAGTACACAAGGCATGCCGGAGAGCAGTGAGGGGTGGAGTACATGGTTGTATAATAAACCCTGTGAGGACAACGGAGGCAATAAGGCAATTTTGAGTATTTCTGCTGGGTATAGCGCTGCACACACTTAGCCAGCAACCGGCTAATGGATGCAGTTTGACCTTGTCGCTTGAGGGTCGCACGTCTTCCTCTTTATGATATGGGGCGAGCCGGTATCTTGGAACAAAGCTTTGGTGCTCCGGATGTGGACTCGGCTCGGTGTAGTGAATCTCCAGGGACTCGCCTGTCAACACATCAGAGAGATTTGCTTTCAACTGTGCCCCCCTTCTGGTGTCCATTTGGTATGGTGAGAAGCAACACGGAGTTAACTTTGATGGTCTTCCACACATAGCGGCCTTGTGAGACTCGATCCAATTTTGTCCATGCACTTTTCTGTTGTCTTTGTCAGCGCCTCTGCGCCGCGTAGGGGCATCTGCGCTTGTATGTCTTTGGAGCATTGCTTTCAATCTTCTTACAGCGGAGGATGCACACACCGCTGGAAGGGCTGAGAGGTGCACTATCCCACCGCTTCCTGTGGTATAAACTCCTATAGTGCCACCAGGCAGGAGCAATTGCATACTTTTGAGACTCAGTGGAAGACTCAAGCGCCCCTTCCACTGAGTCTCGTAAGGTATACCCAGGATTACGTTGTGGAGAACCGGCCCAATCCAAGAATTCCCGAGCATGGTCATGTGAGACATTCCTGAATAAATTGCGAACTTTAACCCATAGCTTTTCCAATTCGCATCTCCTATTAGCCATCTACCAACAGTAGCAGACTAACAGCACAGATTTTGCGCTTGGATGGATTGGTGGACTGAAGCTCCTGGTCATACCTTGCGGCTTCATATCCATATCACCAGCTGCTTCCAGCGGCTCTAGCAACTCCGACTGGCTCAACGCGAGGCAGATCCGCCGATGTAGGTTATCACAGCTTTGGGACCCATCAATGAGCCGAGCACAGCGTGGGGCTCCTGCATTTTCCTGGTTACCTTGCTTGCTTATCAGGCGGCGATGTTTACAGTCTTACTTCTACAGAGCCGTAGCCCTCATACCTCTGAACTATTGGGTGGCCTTGTTTATAGCAAACGCCGCATATGTGCAGCTTTATATGTTCTCCAGGCCTTCTTAGTTTTGAACACCTCGGCTTTTGCCAGTTCCGAACTAGATATGGCTTCAATTTTTGCTTGCTTCCCTCCAAGGATACAGACCATGATGAATCTTCATTGTAAAAGAGGAGAGGAATGCTGAATTTTTGACAAAGGCTTGTGGCGAATTATACCACTCACTACTATGCAGCAAGCCACCATGGTGTGGGTGTGGGACTTGCCTCTCCGGGAACAATGCAGTGCTACCAACTTGGGTCCCTGATCTTACAAAAGGACTGTCGAGAGCTGCAGTGAACCCAAAAGGCGTAGTGTGAGGGTTTTGTAACAACAGCTAACCTTAATCTCCAGTATCCATGCGATATGAGAGAGCAGCAGTCCAAGTGCAGGGGGCAGAGGAAAGGAGACGACCTGCCGTCAGTTGCAAAGCCCCTTGCCCCAACCCCAGATGCAAGACAATACCGCACATAAGCACAAACAAGGCTACTTCACTGTATGCACGAGCACTGTAGACGATTGCTGAAGACTCAGTTTTGCCCTCCTGAGGCCTAATCAGGACGAACAGGGGTCAATGCGCCAAAATCGGACACAGTTGCCAACGCAGCTCAGACTGTCCTACGCAGTAACACTGTCGAAGATTGCTGAACACGAGTTGGCTTCCAAGACCCCAGATACCTGCATGCACAGGAGGTGGATTTTGAGGGATTCCCCCACATATCCATAAGCAGGAGCACCTTATAGCTAATTCCTGCACAGCTGGTTACAAGCTGTGTTTGCCGGAAAATGCGTTCTTGATTCTGTCAGCGAACCTTAGTATGGACACGACATAAACCTAAAAGCTAGTATATCTTCGGTGTGGAGCGCTGTCAAATGTGAGTAGAATAAACCCCCCCAACACCGAGGAAAATGCGCTGTTGGCCCGGTGAATTGAACGGCCTATTAACTCACGCCCGGCATCTAAAAGGTACTAACTCCACCGAGATGCCAGCAAAACCCCAGCCCAGACTTTAGTTTGGGAGAGTAGAGAGTCAAAATACTTCAGTTTAGACAAAGGGGCTCAAAGTGACCAAAACGGGAGTGTTTAGACCAGCCAGTTGCCGAGGACTGCTCGGGGCCCCCCAGAGCGGAGAGGCAACAAGCGATCCAGCGTTGCCTCACTACAATTCTCTGCATCGTTCCTACTTCACATGATTATTTTAGATATTTATATTGAGGACAAAGCCATTTTAGTGCTCGTCAATACACCACCAGGCCGGCATACTCCTTCGCCGTCTACGACAGCGACGCCTCAACAAGGACTGCAGTTATTGCAACACTGGCAATGAGACCTGTCTCCCACCAAATGTTTCCACGTATGAAATCCGAAATATTACTCAATCCGACCGAACAGTGGGGTTCTCCGGGCCAAGGACACAGTGGGGAAGCACGCAACAACAGGAGCCCGATAGGCAACTAGCTTCTCGAGGAAGGATTCCTTCCCAAGGGATGTTTCCAGATCAGTGAAGCAGATGCAGGAGCCACCAAGACAAGGGAGACAGTGCCACCAGCACCAGGGGCAGCAGCTGCTGGAGCAACTTTGGGGTCCTGGGGACTCGACAGGCAGTTGCCCTGTCCCGGTAGCGCTCTCCAGCCGTTTTCACCTTGCTGGATGTGCAGGTGCAACTTTTGCTTCATCTCCTGACTGCACTGTAGACTCTGCGTGGCACAGTTCGTGCGGAGGGACTTTGCTCTTCTGGGATGCTTCTACAACAGCAGCCCCTGTCACAGGTGCGTCAGAGCCGCTCGCCTGCCTGCAAGAAGCCCAAGGGAGATCAAATAACGCAAGACGGAGTCTTCGGAGTGGGGCGCTCACTTATTCAATTCATGTGGGGGCAAGCACCGCCCTCAGCCTCCGCACTGTTTTGCAGCAGTACTTACTGCAATGGCAGCAACGGCGCATACGTGCCAGCAGCTCAACAGTCATGCGTCATGTGCTGGTTGTTGAAGAGGAAAGGGCTACGTTCTTCTTGCCAGAACGTCTTCCTCAGTCTCTTTGCCTCTGTTCTCTCGATGCTTCACCAGTACAGCAGAAACTGCGGCCACTGTCTCAGAGCGTCCCGAGGTGCGATTTCCCTGTTAGCAGGGATTCCAATTCCAGCAGTGCCCAAGAATTTAGTGCCGTCATTAAAGATGGGCAGGTGACAAACGCAGCTAAAGTTGAAGCTGCCGCAGGGGCTAGAGTACCAAATGACTGCCTTGTGCTGTCTTTTTTGTGGGCTGTCGCGTCCTGGTTCAGTCGGCTGGCAGACCCGCTTTCAGTCTCATCTGCTGCTGCTGCTGCTGACCTCGGTCTATGCAGCACAACTAATGAAAGAGCAGCAGTTCTAGCAACCACCGATCCCGATGCTGCCACTGCAGCTTCAGGTTTAGCTGGTGCACTTCCTGCGTTGCAGCAACGCACTAGGGCCGCAGCATCGATTGTGACTGCTGCAGCTGCTTCTCTCCGCGGAGGTTTCTGTCTCCGTCTCGCCGCATTGAGAACCCTAGCGTATTGGTCCTGCTGTTGCATATTAGCGAAGCAGGAAGCCACGTATAATCTGCAGCGAAACCGACTGCGGAAAGAACACAGGCAGCAGATGGTGCTTCATGCGGCCGCTTCACGCCTCATCAGCACAGATATGAAACAACAGAGCAGTAGCACCAGCAGCAGCATAACCCTTCTGCGCCAGCTTCAGCAAGAGTGTCGAGAATCGTTTGCGCAGCTGCTGCAGCAGCAGCAAGATGCTCAACAGCAACTGGCAGAGAGGCAAGGTATTGAAATGGAATCTGCCTGTGCCATGAGGGAGAAGCAAGAACAGGAGTTGAAGGCAGCGACTGCCCCATGTTGCTTGCCAATTCAAGATTCCGGGGATGCAAACGACCCAACAGCAGTTGTTGCTGCTGCTGCTGCCCTGGAGGCATGCGAAAGGGACTTGCAGGAGCTAGTCCAGCAGCACTTGAGTGAGTGTGAGCTGCTTGAGAGGCACTGGATACATGAACAGCAACTACTGCGCGAGCAGCAGCTCCGTATGTTCAAGAACGTAGCAGCAGACCTCTACCTGCTGCAGCACGGTTCTGCTGCTCCGTATGGGGCAGCATGCCAAGCACTTGTGCTACCGCCACTTCCTTCTGCAGGTGAAAATGAGAGGTGGGCCTTTAACTGTAAGCAACAGAAACAGGATCAACGGAGACACGAGCAGCTTCTACAGAATCAACATCCACCGCCGACCTGGCGGCAGTTGGGAGTAGCTGCACGCCAGCTATTTGGAAGGAGCGGTGGAGGCCTTAGCCAGGAGGGAGACCCTCTCCATCATGCTCATAGCTACGCTATTTGTACTTCTGTTGCTTCTGGCGCATCCATAGTAGCAGACGAGGAGCGCCTGCTAAGCTCCGGTACAGCAGCTGCTCATTCAGGGTCAACAGGAGTCGCTGCGACTGCAATCAGTGCAAGCGTGGATGCAGCAGTTGCTGCTGGGCAACACATCCTGCAACGGCAGCAACAGCAACATCAGCAGGCAGCATTTACTCCTTGCAAGGAGGACAACTCACCACAAGGCGGGTCAACGCAGATGCAACAAAGAGTACAGCAGAAGCATCAGCAACAGCAAAACCAACGGGTGTTGCATGGTTCCTCTGCGGAATTCACCGCGAATGCAGAGCACTCTCAACGGCAAAAGCAGCATCAGCGGCAACTCGCCGTGGCAGCTGCCGCTCACCAAGGGCCGGTCTTCAATATGCCTCGCCTGCTCCAGGGAATTGCAGTTGGTGCGGTCCAGCCCCAGCAGCATCGCTCGTCTAGGGCGCCGCAGCAGCAGCTGGGAGGGGTGCAGGAGCATGCAGAGTTGAGGTTCATCTTCGGGGTACAGCAGCGACGGACAATCTGGCTACACGTCTGCACAGGCCTCACTGTGGACTTCTTCCCCTCCACTACTGCCTCTCTTCCAGACAGGCAAAACCAGAGTCCAGTCAGTGCCAATGCTTTGTATGCAGGTAAATGGCTGACGTTGCTAGGACAAGGGCCCACGCCACTCCCTGAGGAGCCGCTCGGGGACTGGGCTGCTGGGTCATTATCCTACTGCTACAAAGACGTGCGACATATGCGTGGGAGCACGCTTTCTTGCTCTTTGGGAAGCAGTGGAAGGCTGAGTTGTGGGGAGTCGCCCAGCTGGCTTGAGACAGACGACATGTTTGCCTCTCTGAGAACTGGGCCCACCGAATCTTTGTCGGGGGCTGTCCTGCCTACTGGGGCAGCCATGCAGGAAAGTTGTGCATGCATTAAGGCAGGAAAAGAGACTCCAGATCTGTTGCTGCCCTCCCTGGAGGAGCAGAGGCGTCTGTTGGGTGCTGCAATCACTGCAAACAGAAGCAGCAGCGGCTGCATCTGCAGCAAGCAGCGGCTGCTGCTACAAGGAGAAGTGTTCGTATCGCGTCATGCTGCCAGGCTGCGCCCACAAGTCTGCTTCCACCTAGCGGTTGCCTCAACGGGGACGAGTCACGAAGCATCTCAAACGCCGAGCCCTTCTCATAAGCCTGCGGAAGTATCTGTGGAACACGATGGCAACGGAAGGACGAGCAGCGCCGGGGATGACCTCGACTCCCTCTGTGCGCCCGTTTGTGAGGGCCTGAGGCAGATACTCCGCCTATGTGAAAAGCATGCAGTTGGTGCGCTGCTTTTGCCTGCACTGTTACTAGAGACAGAAGCCTCCGCTACCTGCTTGCCATTTGCCGTGCTACAGCGTAGAATGCTGTCTGTGCTAAGGTGCGTCATCGCAGAGCTCCGGGCCATCGCCCTTTCTCCAGTTAGCAGCAGTTGCTGCCCGTCGGATGCCTCAGTTGGCCGTCTGAGGCACCTCGTGCTGCTGTTGCCTCCCATACAGCAACAGCAGCAGGAAGGCTCTGGCCAAATGAACCATCTAGTTCAGGCTGCTGTGAATTTCCTAAGGAACTCCGCGTGCTGCTGCTAATGAATATCAGATTTCCACTTACTACACGAAATCTACTGAAACTAGGGTGTGCGAATTTTACTTCAGTATCTGCGGAGATACGTCACAGTGTTGAGAAGGTAAGAAGTTTTGCCAAGAAAATCCGGGAACATTTAGGCAGGCATGTGCTACTTAGGCCTAATTAGTTCGCCCAGACCTTCTTTCACCTTGGCCCACAACACGGCACGCCCTTCCAGCAATATCTTACGCCCTCTAGTTCGTAGCGGCACTGGAGGAGATGGTTCACTATTCATTTGCCGCGGCTGCAGCATTTGCACAATGCGGCACTAACTTTAGTTCTCTGTGTTACGCACAACGCGGTTGGAAGCTGCACTGTGCGAATGAGGAGGTTGCCCCCCTCCCCCGTAAGTCATGTGCTTCCCCCCCCGTAAGTCATGTGCTTCCTCGCTAAGGCGATGCCTGGTTGTGCCACGAAGCACCCGTCTTCATTGCAGCATAAATACATCAAAAGTTGCACATAGACTGCAGATTCCTTGTAGCAGTGTCAAAAATCATGCATCGTCAAAACGCCACAACAAATTTCCCGCTAGAAGGCCATCCCACTGCATCGATGGAACAGGCCTAGCCCTATTCCAGCCTCCCAGCACTCAGCCATACATCCATGCTGAATCTGCTGGCAAAGGCGTCATTTCCCTGGCTCATTTGTTAGAGCCAGTTGTGGCAAACTTCCCCCCCAGAAGAATTAGCTGGGGGGCCAAAAGCACGGGGAAATAACCTGAACTAGACAATAAGACACATTAAAATTAAAAGATGACTTACTACGTGATGTTACGATGCGTGAGGGGCACGTGATTCTTCGCAGCACGTAGTTTTGGGGGGAACGCCAGAGCGACCGATCCGAACCCCGGGCATATGCAGGAGCGGGGATCAGAAGATAATGGCATTAGTTCTGCTTATTTATCGCCTTTTTGCAATAAATTCTCCATAATGCTCCTCTTTTCTTGACCTTCTGTAGAAGTGTGCACCGCCGACGAATCCACTGGTTTTGGGCGTTCGCGGGGGACTTAGGGCGTGGCTCATTCCAAGCTTCACTAGCCGCATAACTACAACTTTCTTTGAGATGGGAGAAAATTAAAATTGTCAACATGGATGAACGATTATCTCTCTCTCTCTCTGGAGGAGCAAATACACCAACAAGCCAGCTATTACATCCTTGACCTTTGTTACATCCTTGCTTCTATCGTGTGTACCTTCCTACCACTTCCGCATGCCCCTGCACAGATCCCTGCATCCGCAAAGGTGCATCTGGTGCAGTAATGTGGTACTTGATCACTCGTCGAAGCTCCTACCAGCCCAGCGTCACAGCTTCGGCCGAGCACCAGCGACGAAGGAAAAGAAAATAGCCGAACTCACCCGGGCACCAGGGACAAATGGAGGTATTCAGAGTATTATAGCTCAGCTCCCCCTTTCTCCCACCCTCCACACACTCAAGAGCCATGGTTTCATATCCAGACAACAGCGCTACAGAGACATGCAAAACCACCAACCAAAGTGTCCCCAGAGATGCTTCACTTTCTCGTTAATCTCCTTCCCTCCCACAGTATTGTATTCTGTATGGATCTCGCAAAGGGGTTTGCAGTGAAAGAGCAGTACCACAGGTCACTCAGAACTACGGCGAGTTTGCGATTGTCATCGCCGCTCAGGTAGACGACACGAGCCAGACAGCGCACTATTGGGATTTGGTGCACGCAAGGGGCCGCGTTGCATATTTTATTTCAACCCGGTACCTGCAAAAGGTGTTGAAGCCCATCTTGAAGCTAGGTCCAACTGATGCAGCAGCTCAGATACTGCTGGAAGACGCGCATGCTGCTGCTTTAACCATTCCTGAGGCGTGCAGTGAACCACAACAGCAGCAGCACCAGAAGCAACTGCAGCGGCGGTGGCGTGTTGCACAGCCACTTGCTCCCCTATCCCACACCCTCTTAGAGTTGATGTGCGGCTCTCGCCCAACCCATGTAAGGCTTTGTCTCTCCATGTGTCGTTGTTTATTGCGTAGCTTTGGCTAGCCAGCAGAAGCAGTAGTAAAATACAGAGGCTGCAGGGAGGCGGTGCTGTGGTTGTGCTATCGACACTGCAGGTGCGGTTACTGCAGAGTGAAGCGGTGGCCACTTACGTGGGGATCGACGCCTCCCAACGGGCACTCTCCCTGGCCCGGGAGGCCTGCAGAAGGCAAATATTCACAGTAGAGCTCTTCAGAAGCGGCACCATGCATGCAGCAGGAGGTGCCGCAGAAGGAGTTATAGGAGCAGCGGAAGCAGGACCTCGAACAACAACTGCAACTTGTGTGCACGAGCTCCTAGGAAGGTGCATGCTGCTGCGAAATGACTGCCGCATGCTAAGCGAGGAGCTGCCTTTGTTGCAATCGCGATTCGTTTTGCTAGTGGCAGGGCTAGACGACATTATAGCGCGCAGCACTACAGACAACACAGACGCACGAGGGCCCTGTGACGAGGCATTGCTCCAGGTGCTTCACTCTGCCGCATTCGCGCTGCCCGTGGGTGGCACTTTGCTGCTGGTAGAGCCCACGTAAGCCCTTCATTTGTCATTCAGTGGAGCTGTGAGAGTTTTGACATGCCCAAACTGCATATGCTGCCTCCGCTTCTTGCTTCTCTTCCACTGCCGCCTTTGCAACAAACAGCCGTTACTGCTTGGGAATATGAGCGTTTTTCCCTTCTGTCGTCTCTGTCTGCAGGAAACACTTCCCAGAGCTGCTGCTTTCTCTGTACAAGGCATTGCAGCATCCTGTGTTGAGCTGCCGGCTGCTTATGTGCGAGGCCGCGGAGCTCGTGGGTCCCGCTCGAGATGTTCTCTTGCTTCGCCTGCGAAGGCATACAGACGCCTCGGAATGTATGCGGGCTCTTGAACACTTCCATGCGACTGATGTTGCAAGGTAGGTGGAGCTGTTGTTGCTATCTCTGTGCGTCCCTCTGTTGCTGCGAGTATGCGTACACCAATATTTTTGTCGTGTGAATAAATATCTTAACTCCTAGTATGTGCATCCGTCTGCCACTTATATTCATCCTTCGTGTTTCCTTTCGACTTTATTCCCTTGGAGGAAGTAGGCGGTTGACCTGCTCACGCAGCTAGAGTGTAGTGCTTCGTGTGCCTTGGGTGGCTGGCTGCTGGTTCTGCTTGCTCCTTTCTTGTGGCTATGCCCTTCTCCCCAGCAAGGATTTTAACCCTAAATCCTCTCTAAGGGGCGTTGAAATGACGCCCCTCGAGCTAACAGTACCTAGCCTCTGGGCTTGTCCGCCTGGCCCTAAAGGGTACGTGCGTGAGTGTGCCCTGAACTGTGCAAATGCGAACTGTACCCCTGCGCTCGCTGTCGTGCATGCGTGCCGCTTCACCAGACTCGCAGCCAGGAAGGCTTTCCGCCGTGGTCTCCAAGGGGCTCTTGAGGCTCCCCAGGCAGTGCAGCAAGCGATGCCCTTGTGCCACCGTCTTTCCCTGGTCCAGCAGGCAGAAGAGATGGCGTTCCTCCTTTGTCAGGTCGGCGAGGGACTTAACGGGGGCTATCTCGTGTGCGCTAGAGTTCGTCTTGTAGCTGGCTGCTTCTGATGAATAATTATTCGTTACCGCCTGTATTTTGTTCTTTACGTGGGGTAAAAGAGGTGCTGAGCTACCTCTCCTCACCGTTAAGGGGTAAACAGAGAACCACAGTGGGTAAAACATGACAGGGGGGATTGTAGTTTAACCGGTAAACGAAGATTCACACCCTGTGGCCTCCAACTCTCCTGAGGTGTGCGGCGCCTGTGTCTTTCTCTCCAGGCCTGCAATGAAGGCAACATATTCGCTACGACGAAACTCCTGGCCCTGGGTGCAGAAGTAAACTACAGCACCACCAATAACAGCACTACTGCATATCCCCTGTGCGCAGCTGTGGCTGCAGGCGACCCCCACTTGGTAGACTTGCTGATACGTCATGGAGCAAAGCCAACGGGGAGTCCCTACGATGACCCTCTTTCCGTAGCTGCAGAGTTGCTGCTACGGGATGCAGTTGCAGCCGGCCTGTGTCTTCCAGACGAATTCAAGTGTACAGGCTGCAACAGCGTAGAGGAAAAGCACATTGCAGCATGTGGGGAGGCACTTGCTATGCATCAGTCGCTCCTCAGAAGTGTTTCTGTCCTCTCTTGGGTGGAGGGGGAAATGTCCACACCAATGGGGGGTCTCTTCTGTTGTCGCTGCTGCTGTAAAAATGACTTTTTGCAGACAGCAGCGGGGGTCCCACCCGTCTCCTCACTAATTTGGCCCTGTGGTGACCCGCTAGAAGTATGCCTCCCCGTCTTGTGTTAATTTTCATACTTCTACTACTGTTGCTGCCACTGCTGCTCATGTTGCCATTGGCGTTTCCCCATCCGCTGTGGCAGGGCTTCTGCTTGCGGTGGTGGCGGTGTACCTAGTTCTAAAGTGGCAGGCTTCCCGTTGCAACTGCTGCTAATTCTGCTGTTGCCACTGCTGCAGGCAGTCTCAGAAAGATATCGGCTGGACTTCTGACACGCCTCAGCACTTCGTACAACGCACCGTCCCTACTGCAGCTGCCGCTGCATCGTGTGTACGGTTTTACCACCGTGGGGTCGGTAAACTAAACCGAGCCTGACAATCCTTTCCGCAAAGCCACACATATCTATCGATTCACTAGCAACTACCTGACACCAAGGTACTTGCACACCTACGAACTGAAGAAATCAGGGCTCTACTATAGAAGACAGTAGGCCCGCAAACCCTTGCGTTCTTACGCCTGCGCTTGGGTACTGCTCTACTACTGCAGTCCCTGGTACTAGCTACAGCTGCTGCTGCAGCAACCGGAATGCCGGTGCCCTCTGCTCCTACCTCCCTTCAAGCCCCGTTCGTCCGCCCCTTAGTATACCCGGCAGCAGCGGCAGCAACATCCTTAGCACCATCCCTTGCTAGGGGTTCGCGCTTGCTTTGAGCAGCCGTGCCGTCGCGGCACCTCGCGCACGCTGTGCGTCGCTCATAAAATCGGACATCGAAGGAAGTGGATGGATACACAAAGCGGTTCTGCTTGCGCAGGATATTGTGGCAGATATTCCTGCTTTCGCCAGCTTCTGCTTCCTTGTTTGCAGGAGCAGCGGATTCCACTCTCCAAGTTCCTATATACAACTCGAGAGAGGACAAGTCCCCTCTCGAGGTTACTGAAACCCCAGTTTCTGTAGTAATTTGTATGCAATACAGCCGCCTCTACAACAGCTGCAAATGTTGCAAAATGCTGCTGTTGCACACGCAGCAGCATCAGCTGGAGAAACATCCGCATCTGCTAAGGTGGCAGTTGAGCAGTTCCGCCTATGGGGGCTCTACGTAGGAAGTGCCCCTCACCAGATTGATGAATTGAACGTATTTGCCGTGAAAGGGGCTCCTCCAGTCCCTCCCCATCCGCTGCGCCACAACCCACATTAGACATGCGGCGAATGGTGCAGAGGCAACAAACAGGGCAGTCAAGGCCTTACTTAACAAGGCAACAGGAGGCACACACGGTACGAATGCTCTTCGACGGTATCCGTTCAGCAGAACAAAAGCAGGATCCATTCAGCAGAACAAAAACAAAATACAGCCATGCGAGTCCTCTGCTAAAGCATGCAACTACACATTCCATCCCAGGAAATTGTGGGACGGGTAGAAGTTTCGGAGCTCTCTCCGACGGGTCGAGACAACACAGCACTGTCGCAAACTGCAGATGGGCAGCACCACTCTCTGCACGCAAGCAGCTACAACGCCAGGCAACGCAGGGCTGACTGCATTAAACGATGTGAACTGGTGCCCACTTGGCTTGGCTCATCGAGGAAAAGGGATTCGTAGAGACAGCGGGGGCTCTTGGCTGAGTGCTCAGGGGGCCGCCGCCCACCGTCGCCCCACTGGGAGCCCCCACAGGCACCCCAAAAGGTGATGACTGCTGCGGCATTCCTGGGGGACGGTACGCCTGCTGCATGCTCACTGTCTGCTGTAATTGCGGCTGCTGCAACTGTGGCTGGGGCTGCTGAAAAGGACTCCCCGCAAAGTGAGAACCCTGCAAACAGGCAAATGGATTGGAAGATCTCGCAGCTGGCTGCTGTGGGCCCCGCATGCTGGCGAAGGGGTTGCGCTGCTGTTGCGGCTGCTGGAGCTGCTGCATCTGCACCATAGGGTTTGGCTGTTGGTGCTGCTGCAACATAAGATTCGGCTGCGATTGCTGCTGCATCACCATCTGCAGAGGACGGCCAAGAGTACCTCCTACTCCGAGCGCTTGCTGCTGCGGGTGTACCCCGAACAAAGAACTATTGGGCTGCTGCAAGGCCTGCATCTGGGGAACAGAAGGCACCTGCTGCATATGCTGCTGTGGCTGGATCCCCCCACAAGCTCTCCACTGTTGCTGTGAGGCGTCTACGAAGGAGCCAATAGTGGCTCCATGCTGGGGCATCTGCATTTGCTGCATGCTTGGGGTCATGAGGCCTTGCGGTGTTTGTCCCTGTCTCCACAGAGGGGAAGGCTGGTGTTGTTGCTGCTGTGGTTGCTGTTGCTGGGCATGAGGCACGGCAGCCATACCCATACCTGCTAGGCCCCCCATTCCGGGAATACTTTGATGGAGGCCACCCTGCGGGGCCCCAGTGTCGGGGGCCCCCGTCCATACGTTACTATTCGGCTGTGGCCAGCCAGCAGCAACGAAGTCCTCCTGGTGGGCGCCTTTGCGCCTGCTGCTGCTGTTCTTTTCACCTCGATTTCCGCGGGACCTCGAAGGCGCCCAGGTAGACCTGGGGGGAGAATCCTGAGGCGGTCAAGCATAACCCATAAAGCCCAACAGCAAGTGCCCTCCGTGTGTCTCAAGAATACACGAACGTACTTGGCTTGATACAGGTACGCATGAACAGATGTTCACGTATCACGGACAAGATAACCCGTGTATTTGTGTTTATGTGCCTATTTGTGTGTGTTTGGGGGCGTGGGTGTGGGTGTGGGTGGGTGTATTCATTTACACATACTACTTTCGAAGAGAGTTATAAAGTGTGTGCCCCCGAGCATACATGCAAGAGCAGTGCCACACAGAAACGCAGCAAAACCAGCTAGAGGAGGTGCTGCAATCACAACAACAGCAGCACGAGCAGAGTAGTTACAGCGTACATCGCTGGATTCTTGGGTTTCGCTGGAAGGAGAAGGCGTATCTCTCCTCCTCGAATGCCCTCTGCCGTGGCGCCTCCTCCTCTCGGTGGCTCGTGATGACGAGCTTCGGGGAAGGCGGCTGCTGCCGCTGTCCCGCGGGTTGTTCGTGTTGTTTCCTCTGCAAAGATACGTGCAGAAGCCTCACACACACACACACGATATCAATAAACAGATAATCTAAAAACCTGGGCGCTATACAAACTAGCCAAAGACACACACCGAGGGCCTTTCAGCAGGCGAAAAGAACACCAACAAGTCAAATCGCACACAAAAAGCCGAGGGAGCTTGATCACGAACGCGATCAGCAGCTCTGTGGCACCTCAGGTCCTCTCACCCAAACTTGTTAAGCAGTTTCTGCACTTCAAACGCCGTGAATCGGTCGGTGCCAATCTTCTTCGCGGACGTCTTACCCGCGCTGCAGCCGTTGCAGAGGAACTCGTAGCGCTGCAGGTCCACAGAGCTCACGCCCTGTACATGCCCAACAAAAAAGCACAGCACAACACAGCCACGCTACATAGCACATAGCATTCTGTGAAATGCTGCACCGAATAGCAGTCAGCCAACACAACGGAAACGCAGGTGCGATGTCACACCGGGAAGATATATTCAACAAACACCTGCCGAAGCACAACTGAGCGTCGGAAGCAGCTCAACAGCAGCACGAACAGCAGCAAACCAGCAGCACCTGGAACAGCCAATTACCCCTCTGCCGCACAGCGCGCATTGGTCGTGGCTATTGGCAAGAAAGTACAGCTTCTCAAGGTTGACAGCGTCTTCATACTCGGTCTTGCTGAGGCCCATCTCAGCTGCGGACGCGGAAGTGAAGCCCATTTTCAGCGGTTGATTCTCCTCCCTTTTACCTTTCTATCCCCAATAGTATAGGTCTACTGCTGCGGCTACTGCGGGTGAGTTGGGTGCGCATCCGCGAAACTTCATTCGGCCGTTGCAGCCCCCTGTAGCCGTAGCCGTAGGGTCTTCTCGTAGTAGCGGTTTCCACTGCCTCGCACTGCTGCGGTTTTCGTTGCTGCCAGTGATACTGCAAGTGCTCGTGCTGCTGGTGGAGCTGCAGCTGCTTAGCCACAACGGCTACTGCCTGCTAGTCAACCTTCCACCGGCAAGGATCTGATGGAAGCCTCAAAATCTCTCTTCCCCTTTGGCTACTCCTGTAATTGCCTAATTGGTCAGAATACGTTTGGGCAAATCGCGGGGCCCCTGTTAACGCAGGGGCCCCAGGAGCTGACCGGTGGCACGCCCAGGACGAGCAAACACGGACGAGGGGCTTGTGGTTTATTGTGGCAGTAAAAGCTAAAATTACATGAAAAAAGAAAGGGGACAAACGCCAATATGAACTGGAAAGGCTACAGACAGCGGGAAAGACGACGGTGGACGGACTAGCTGCTGGCGAGCGAGAAGCCCAGATGAGAGTAGCTGAAAATAAAGAGACCCTTTCTGAGTTCAAATAAGCGTAACAAAAATGGGCGATGCAGTAAGGGTTACTACTGGGGCCCCTCCTACCCCTCTCGTCTATCTGGATGCTACTGCTGCCGCTCCCCTGGCAGAACTACGAGTTGCGCTGAGGGGCTCGCCTGCCGTGCTTCTTTTTCTGTCTGTTCTTTCTGTGGGTATTTCAGCCCTTATTGATAAAGGGTCGGCCAAAAAGCGACACATATACAGCCTTACGGACGAATCATAAAGCACCATATGCAATCACTGTACGGAGCTCAGCTCCGGCTTTGCGCAACGACAGCAGCAGCGACTTGCACGGCTGCTGGAGCTGCAACTGCATTGAAAAAAAAGTGGATGCTCTCAACCTCTCTTTTGAATGATGTGAAATCGACAGATTCACTAGGGGTGCCCGCTTGCCTGAGGCAGACATTTCCCGTAGGCGGTGCGTGGTTTTAGCTCCGACATAGGAGGGTTTGAGGTAGGCGTTGCCTTCATCTGCTCCTTGAAGTCGGAACTTAAGTTGGCAGATGCTTTCGAGAAGACATACTTAGGGGCGTGCATTCTAGAATGGAGCAAAGGAGAATTGTTTTCGACGCTCCTCCTACAGTGTGTGAAATTGGCAGTGGGCCTGTCTTTAACACAAGAGTTCAACAAAGACCTCCAGATGAGCGTGCAAGTGGCCCTAGTGATCACGTGCGAGTCTTCCTACGAATGCCGCCTAGCTCCTGGAAAGAAAGGAGAGAACCTGGGCTAGTGGTATGCTGTGACATTCGACGCTCCGAGCTGTAAAACGGCTTGCTGGTAGTGTGGTGATATTCGTTAGGTCAACTGCAGACCTCGGGAAAGAGAGAAGCGGTCGGTAAGCGGCGTCTAGGGCAGATGGTAGACCGCTCGCTTTGCATGGGAGAGGTAGGGGGATCGATACCCTCGCCGTCCACATACACTGTCCCGTTTCCGCTAGTTGTCTAGTCAGATTCCACCTCAAAGAAAGCTGGTTAGAGCTTGCCATGCGTGCAAGGTATACGTTGCCGTTCTGGTTCGTCTGCAGCCTGTCACATTCGGCGTGTTTGTTTGCAAGGGAGGAATGCTAGCGTTCGCGCAGTTTTTGCAAACCGGAGACACACACGTACGACAACGAACCAAATGCACCATTACCTGGACCTCAGGAAGAGACTACACATCTGTACCATAGGAATGAGGGGGCAATTAGTCGTCGTTCAACCACAATGCCGCTGACAGGCAACACAAAAGCAGACGTAAACCGCGTGGGCAGCCGGATTTCTAGCGGATCCATGCAATACATGGAATCAACCCAATATGCCAGGACCAGCCAGTACGGTGGGGCTTGCATGCAAGCAATTACACAAAAATTATTACACTTCCAACTTCACAGTTTAGCGTGCGGTCTTTTGTGCGAGATAATCCCCAAGGACACGAACGAAATAAAACGAGGAACTAACACTCTTAGCTCTTCATTCATGAGCTTGGTTGTCCCACATGAGAAGCCAGCATCACCGGAAAGCTTGATTTGCGCCATTTCTTCTAAGAAACTGAAAAATGTGTTAAGAAATCATTCTACTGCTGTTGTTGCTGCTTCTAAAGAGGCTAACCATGTTGCTGCTGCCACTGCAGCTGATGCCACTGGCGTTGCTGCTGCAATGGCGGTTGCTGAGTCACAGACAGGTAGCCATCCATGGGCAGCAACTAATTCAAGGGCCGCTCACGGCCTGAACAGTGGCAACAGCAAGCGCCGCGGGGTATCGATCTTACTACTGCATCATGCAGCTAGACGGGGTGGTGCGGGCATTTTGCTGGAAGCTGTGAGATTCACCCCAACGTTCGCTTCGTACTTGATCTCACTGTCATTGTTGCTGCTGCTGCGGTTAGTGCTGGTACTCTTGCTGCTTCTGGACCAGCTGGCATGCCTGGATGGGGCGTGCTTCCGTGCAGTCCGAAGGGAGGCAGACGGCCAAGAGAGGGGCCACCTAGGCCGCAGCAGCATGGCCACATCTTTGCCTACAACACGATGAGTACTGCTGCTGTTGGTGCTGCAGATAGCAGTGGAGGTTGCAGCGTATGATCTGACAGGAACTGTATACTTTACTCCCCAAGGGACACATGAACCCCGGGGTTGCTGTGAGGTGACGCTGCCAGCAGTCTGGTATTCGTGTTGCATAAGAATGTCCGCTGTTCCTGCTGCACAGGACAGCGTTGGTGTTGAGGCGTGCTGGATGCCGCTATTGAGGCTGCTGCTGCTGTTCGTTCTCTGGCGATTGCTTTCGGCTTCCAAGACCCAGAAGGGTTTGCAATACAAAGCGGCAGCAGCCGCTGCTTTCCTGCCTGCCCGCAGCGAGCGGGGGCTCAGAGCTCCTGCATTGGGATCTTGGAGGGATGAAGGTGGGCCGCCCTGTGGGATATGTGCTCTTGTTGGAAGAAACCCGAACCTGTCTGAAGAGCTTCCAGCAAACTCTACGGATCGCGCTTCATCCTGGACCTGTAAAAAACTCGCAAACGCTTGAGTGCTGCAGATTTCTTGCAACAAGGGGCCCCCATCGTTCGTGGCCGCCTGAACTCTCACCCTCCCGCCGCTGCCAGGGGTCTCCTTGGCTTTGAAGGGGCCCCCGCAATGGTACCCCATGGGGGAATCATAGCGGGATCTAGTGATAACGGTGCAGCCACGCAGCAAGTCAACAAAGAACCGAAGGAACACCTCTCGCAGTAACGCATCTGATACTGCATTTGCCTGCTTCTGTTGCTTATGCTTCCGTTGTAGCTCCTCCTGCTGCTGGTGGCAGCAACTGTCACTGGCCAGAGTGGAGCTCCATTCATGCAAGATGACGAGAGGGTTCTCGGCCGCATCCAGCGGATCAATGTGAGGCTGCATGCATACAGTGCTTGCCTGTTGGAGTGCAGCCACACGAGAAGCAGCAGCAGCTGCTACAGCTTCTGCTGCTGCTTCTGCTGTCTCCTCGCCTTCCTCTGCACCGCGGGTCTCACAAAGGAGCTGGTTCTCTTCACTTGTATGGTACCCGAAGCTGCTATTGCTGGATGCAGCGACTGTAACAGCTGCTGCAACAACAGTGCTAGAAGTTGCATCATGACTGCATGGGTAGACAGTAGGTAGGTTTGAAGCATCCCCCTCTTCAGAAGACTCAAAAGAGACCCCAGAAAACTCGCGCCACACCGGCAGCAAGTTGCTGCTAGGTTCTGTTGCTGCAGTAGCAACAGTACCACCCCCGTCCTGCCCCCCTGTGGCAGCAACGAAGGTCGCTGGGGCTGAAAAAATGGCACTGCCTGGGCCACACTGCTCATCTCTGTCACTAGCCCCCGACAATGCTGATGCTGCCGCCGCTGCTGGTGCCGTAGGTGCCGGCGTAAGACTCCCTGTTGCTGCTGCAGAAGGTCTCTTTGCCTTGACCCACGTTCTGTTGCGTTCAAAAATTTCGCTGCTGCTTCTGCACTGCCTCTGAAATAGCAGTGACACTCCCCTCCGCCCGCGGTTGTTGGTGTTCGTGGACGGCTGATATGGCTCCTGCAGCGACATATGCTGCTGTTCCTGCTCTTGCATTGCCGGCTGCTGTTGCTCCGAAGTGACAGTTTTAGATGCAGCAACAGCACACGCAGACGCTGCTCCGGTTGTTGCAGTTGGCGCAGGTGAAACACACAAATCCAGGAGCGGCGACAGGAGTTCAGGTTCCTCGAACGGTGGCTGCTCCTCTGGTTGCTGTCGTTGCTTATTCTCTTCTCGTTCTAGTTGCTGTTGCTGCTTCAGCTGTTGCTCTTGCTTCGCCCGCATCCACGTGGCACCATCAGCAGCGGCAGCTCCAGCATACACCCCGACGGGAACGGACGAATGGCGGAAAAGTGCGGTCTGCCCTGGACCGCTACGAAACGAATGTAGTGTGTCTGCAGCAGCAGCAGCAGCCGCTGCTGAAGCTGCTGCAGCTGCCGAAGCTGCTGCCGCTGCCGAAGCTGCCGCTGCCGCGTCTGTTATGTCTGTTCCAGAAGCTGAAGATCGCTGTCCCCACAGACGCCATAGCCAATTATCTCTCCTGTGTTGCTGCTGCTGCTGCAGTTGGAGCTTGGCGGGTTGTGGTAGGTGCGGTAGCTCTCGCTGGTTCAGCTGCTGCTGTTCTGTCCTTCCAGGAGGCAAGAGGTTCAAGAAGCGAAAGACAGACAGAAGGGCCCCACTGTGAGAACGGTTAGGCCCCCCTCGCATACTAGCATTGGTGTTGCTGCACCTGCTGCTGCCCGCAGCTGCTGCCCCGGTGGCACCAGCTGAGGATGCAGGACCAAAGCTGGTGCTGCACTGGCCACCTCCTTGCGGGCTAAGCAGCTGCTGTTGTTGCTGGTGGTTCCTACTGCTGGTACGCATGAGCTCCAAAGGATCACCCCTGGACGTGCCTAGCTGGGGTTGCACTGTTGTGCCTGCGGAAGTCTTGTTGCTGAGACTGCCTAACTCAGCCGTAGCATCAGTACCAATCCGCGCACTATACGCTGCTGCTTCTTCTGTAATTGCAGCACTTACGTTCTCGCGCAGCAGCTGCCAGTTGGAGGGGAGAAACGAGGGGATCTGCTGCTGCTGTTGTTGTCGCCGCTTCTTCTGCTGCTTCTGTTGGTGACGCTGCAGCATCTTCCGCTGTTGGTTGGTCAGGTTCTCATCGACGATTGCTGCCGCCGCCGCTGCTGCTGCTGCTGCCGCAACTGCGTCTTTGCACAGCAACGGCACCAGGCTCGCAACAAGCTTTCTCAGCATTATATCTGGCAAGGGAGGCAATCCCCAAGCAACAGTACCAGGCGCTGCTGTTGTTGACGCGGCTTCGGCTGCTGTTGCTTTTGCAATTTCTGCTGCTAAAGGGTCCAGGGACTCGCGCTGATTCGGGTCCCCCGCTGCCGTGGCAAGGGCAACATGAGAAAGGGATAGAGAGCAGCTGTCCAGGTCTACCAAATAAACCCCTAGGGAAACAGAGACACCACACGACAAGGAATGTTGATTTCCTGAACTTAATGCTGGCACGCCACGAGCTTTTCAATGAAGGCAAAACCCATCCTCAACAATACCAGCACGCACTTATCTAGCAACATCAGGAGCTTCAGAACCTGGTGCTGCAGCTGTTACTGCTAAACGGGCGGCAAAAGGGGCCGCAACGACTGCAATTAAAACAGGAACAGCTGGAGGACTAACCGAGGGGAAAAGTGTCCAGAGCATGAGAGAACAGGTTGATGGCGTACAGCATGTTGCCGGAAATAGTGTTCGTGCCGTTACTGCTGCCGTTCCTGCTGCTAGAGACTGTTCCTGTCGTTGGTGCTGCTGCAGTTGAGGCTACTGCTGCAAAATCGGGAACAGTGCACACGTAAACAGCGGGAGGTGCTGCCCTTCCTCTCGGCATACCACTTCGTTTCCTGTGGCTATTACTGCTGCTGATGCTGCTCTTCCCTTGTTGTTCTGGTTCGGCTGGAATCTCTTGTTGCTGTTGCTGCGGTGGCGGCGTCAGAAAGCCGACGCAGAAAGGAAGCGGCATCGATACGAAATGGGCAAGGGATGCCGGAAGCAACGGGACGAACACCTGAGAGTACCGAAGTGGGTACATTAAGGCTGCACATACACCCAAGCACAGCAGCAAAATGAGCACCAGATGGTGCAGCCCCCAGCATGTACACGGAGAGACAGCATCAGCAGGATTCTTACAAGAATGCACAATTCTACTGTCATCGTTCCTTGCTTCTTCTGGCGCTGCCGATGCAGGCGCATGGAGTGCAATCGTTGCTCAGTTTCATAGCACAACGTGCGCTTGCATACTACACTGCTGCTACTCGTGCTGCTACTGCTGCTGGAGTTACGGCTAATGCAGCTGACCCGTTAAAGCGCAAGGCAGCAGGCTAAGGCGGTTCACAGATGCGGAGAGCAGAACGACTTGCTTTTCGCACAACAACAGCAGAAACAGCAGCAAAAGCAACTCTAGGGGGAAAATCTTCAAAAGATTTACTAGAGGAAGCTGCAGCACACAAATCAACGCAACGCTGCCTAGAGCAGAAACGCCTGTGCCACCAAAATCAGCATCACTAACACCTGCAACGAACATGGCTGCCGCATCAGCTGCAGGAACAAGTCCAGCTGCAGCTGCAGCGAAGAAGGCCCACCTGCAACAGCGGCAAACTCCCAGGGGGCGGCAGCGCGAAGTGAAGGGAGCGCGTGCACTCTATAGATACAGAAACTCGCAGCTTGTTGATGCTGCTGCTGCTGTAGTTGCTCCTCCCACCCATGTTGTAATCACCAGTGCTACTTCTGCTGGTTTCGCAGCGCATCTGAACTTGTTGCAGCGGGAACACCTCCCACATGTGAGCTGCTACCGGAGCTGGGGTTTCCTCCACCAGCCTTGTGGCTTGTTGCTGGAGATACAACAGCGGTGAGGGGAGTAGAACCCGCTGCTGCACCTGCTGCTGCTTCTGCAGTACGATGTGGCCTCTCGCGCTGCAAGCAGTGGCCTGACATAGAGCAGCGTACGATGTGTACGTACACCACAACCACTCATGGAAAACCCCGAAGAACGGAAGCTCGGACAAGACGCAAAACGCCCTCTCCACGTAAGCCAGCGGGGGAGGCTCACCGGAGCCGCCGTCTGCTGGTTCTGTGCCTACAGCGCTTGCCTCCCTACTTATCCTGCGTGGTTGGTGTACTCTGTCTGGCATTACAGCATCTGCCATAGCGTCTCCCTCTACAGCAACACTTGCTGCAGCCGAACCGCTGTTGCTGAGCATTGTGCAACGGCTGTTGGGCACCCTAAAGGTCACGAGCTCGAAAAAACGAAGGCAATGTCCATACAATCTGCGGCCCTGAAAATCTGTCAACACGAAAACAGAAGAGGAGGGAGAGTGCACTCTCAGCAAAGAAGCGCATGGACATCCACCCCACTGGCAAATGCATGGAGAAGCCCGTGCTGGCGCTGCTGCTCGTGTTGTGGCTGCCCATGTTCTTCCTGGCTGAGGGAGCATTTGCGGGGATGCTGCAGCCACTGGCTCTAAGACAGAGGAGGAAGGCGCTTCCTGTGCTGCCGCTCGTGAGCATACACCGGGAGACAGCAGCCCCGTCAAGACGCGCGGCAAGTACGATTGCCACGGGGACGTACACGGCCGTGTTGCAACAACCGCCTCTGGCTTCTTTTGTTTGTGCTGCGGCGGTGGATGGAGAAGGGTACAAAGACAGCCGCTGCTCACTGGCAGCACCTTCGCCGTTCCCTCAGGAAAACAGAAAAGTTCAGCTGCGGGGGGCACCTCTGGCGGAAGCCACGAAGTGTTACCAGAGCCTTCACCGTCCGTTTCCGTTCCTGGATCTGCTGCTACTGGTCCTTCTGCTGCATCTACTGCTGCCGTCCCTGCCACTCTTGCTGGGCCTGTTCCTGCTGCTGCTGGGTCTGCTGTTGCAGACTGCGCTGCCTCTGACAGGTGCGGCACTGTAAGGACCTTAGGCTTGCCTTTCCGAGTTGCCGCAACATCGAAGCTTGGGATGTAATCCCATTTCCAGCACTGTGGTCCTCTTGAATTTACTTTGCAACAGCTGCTGCTGCTGCCGCCGCCGCCACAGGAGCAGACGCCACGCACTCGGCAACGAATTACAGCAGGTGAGTAACTGCTCTGCTTGCTGACGCGTTTTGAAGCCGGTGCAACAGCCCTTACTCCATCTGCCGCCATAGCTGGAGCCACTGCAGCTGTACAGGTTGATGCCGCATCTGTCCCTGGGCCTGCTGCCGATGCTGTTCCACCGGCTTCAACCACGGCCAAAGGAGCCACTGAAGCTGCGCTGTGAGGCATAGGCCAGCTCGAGCTGCGACGCCCTGTTCCCTCGTGGCCTCGTGCATGGCCATCACTGTAACTACGTCTGCTGCTGCCGCCGTAGCAGTTAGTGCTGCTGCTGCTGCTGGCGCAGCTGTTTCTGGCCCGTCCCACCTCTGCTGCTTTCAACTGTGAAGCACAAATTCGTACTGCTCCTGTTGGTGCTCTTACTGCATGGAAATGAGGAACACGTGCGCTTTTCACGTTTGTGATGCTGCCTAGGCTGCTGCTGGGGCGCCTGCTTGTCCTCCTGATGCCACTGACATCCAAGGGGTCGTTGCTCCAGTTGTAGCCGGGTACTAAACAGCTGTTAACCCTCCTGCTGCTCGTGCCTTCATTACTGCCGTTGGGGCAGCTGCTGCTGCACCTTCTACGTGCCGGTGCCGGAGCAACCCGTTTTCTGTAACTGCTGCTGCTGCAGCTGCTGGAGCCTGTGATGACAGAAGCTGCATCAGATGGGCGCCTTTGGGGCTGACTACACAAGCTCAAAACCCTACTGGAGCCACAGAAGGAGCTGGCACAGCTTCTTCTGTTCCTGCTGCTGTCGCTGCTGCTGCAGCGGCTGCTGTCAGGCGGAATGGTCCCTTCGGGAAAGAAACACGGTGCTCTCTTGCACGTGCAACACCACCAAACATGGGGCTGTAGCAGGTCGCTACTGTTGCTACTGTTGCTGCTCGTACTGCTGCTGGTCTCTACATTGTCAGCCCCGTTGGTCCCCGTCCGTGGAATCTCCTGCTGTTGTTGCTGCTGCTGCTCCCTCTCATTTTCCATAGGGGTAAGGTCGGAGACAAAACAATCGTGAGCCCCTTCACCAGAAGCGTCAGCAACAGCGGTCCCAAGCGAAGCGGATACTTCCTGCTGATCCTTAACCTGGCAACAGCAGCAGGAGCACTGCTGCTCTTGTGGCTGTTGGCAGTAGCGGCCAATGCAACAGTCCAGGACAGGGCTCGCCGCTGGGGGTCCCAGGACCAGAAATGCCTCAACAAGGGATGGCATGCAACGGATACCGTGGGAAAGCCGCCTGCTGAAACGTTTCCGGTGCTGCTGTTGCTGGTAGCTTCCGTCCTGGTCCTCCTGTGCGCGTTGCTCCTGCTGTTCGGTTTGTTGCTGCTGCGTAGGCAGCTGTTCGCCCTGATGCTGCAACTCCTGCTGCTCTTGCGGCCGTTGTTGTATGGCTTTTGCTTGGTTCTGTTGCAGCAACTGCACGAGGGGCAGCTTCTGCTTAGTGCCCTCTTGCTGCTGATGGCGCTGCTCCGGCATTAGCAAAACCTGTTTCTGTTCTCGTTGCTGCTGCAGCTCCAGCTGCTGTCTGTGGCACCTCTCTGCTAACCCCTCCAGGACTTGCTTTCTGGTCCCCCAGCCGTCGCTGCGACCCCCTGAATGCCCACGGCGCCCGGCAGAATCCCCCGAGCTGCACCACTCCAGAAATGCATTAGTCACAGCTTCAAAAGGGCCACCAGAAGCTCGTTCTCCGTGGGCCTCATCAAGGTGGCCTCTGGGGGCCGTGGCGGGCGTAGATTCCGAAGCCGCATCCGAATCACGGGGACCCCACGGAGTCGATACAGGCAAGTCATCTCTGGCTGCTCCTGATGGCACCTCCAAGGCCGCTTCCGAGAGACCTTTTTGATTTTCTCCACTGGGGTCCGTGAGGGTCCCAAAGGGTGGCCTGGCCAGCGCCTCCTCAGGAGGGGCCCCTGGCGAATCCTCACCAGACTTCATAAAGGCTCCTACTGGAGAGAGCGAAGGTGAATGCCAAATATTCATGTTCGTCGGGGGGGCCCAGGGTTCTCCCATCACCGCTGCGCTTAAAGGCAGAGGGCAAGAAACGGGCGAAACTCCGAATGGTCCCAGAGCCCCCTTTGACAATCCCCAAGGGGAGGCCCCAAGCGGTGAATTGCCCGCATCTCCAACAGGTGTTGCTGCTCCGACTGCTAGTGGAACGGCTGCCTCCGCTCCGCTGTCAGCATTAGAAGCATTCTGGGCTGCGGCCGGTGTCTTTGTTGCTGCTGTGGGTGCTGCAAGCGCTCCTTTAGAAAGCGCTGCAGGTGCTGGGAAAGCATCTGCCACTGAGACACGCAAAAAAGGACTCGTTTCTGCTGCTTTAGATGAACCGGCTGCAGCTGGTTTATCCTTAGTTGAAAAGCTTATAGCATCAGCAGCTGCTCCTGCGGCTGCGACAGCAGAAACGTTGGTTGCAGCAGCAACGTCCGTTGCAGTAGCAACACTGAACGAACTGCAGGAGGCCACGAATCCGTTCAGCTGCGGGGTCTCCCCGCAGGCCGGTTGCATCTTTTGCATGCGCTCCTCCTTCTGCCTCTGCCGTTGCTTGGCTTCGTAGCCGCTGTCGCCACATTGATGCGGCTCAGAAACAGCTGAATAGCTCCGCCGCAGCAGCTAGAGGCCCTCGCAGAAGCAGCAGCAGATTCTGCTGCAGGGGGCACTTTGTGGCAGCTTGGGGGGCCGTAGCTGCGTAACACATGAGGGTCCCGAAGAAGGTGAGGTGTTCAAAGCTGTTGCATCTGCCGCAGTTGCTGCTGTTCCTTGTGCAGCTGATTCTTGCTCTCCCGTATCTTACGCCGAAGTTCCACTCGGCGCTGGGGCTAAAAGGAGTCACATGCAGATCAGAAGGGGGCCACAAGGAGGCCTTCGCTCTGCTTTGCCGCCAACGAAGTCCCCACGAAGGGCCCCTGCCAGGGCGGTCCCTGGCCGAAGAGCACGGGGCCCCCAATGCTACCGCTGCACCACTGTTGGACTGGGCCTTTTGTTGAGCTTTCAAGATTTGAGCACTTAGATTTGACTTGCTGTTTCAAGTTGCTTGCTGCGGGTAAGGAACAGTTACTATATGCGGTGGATGCGGCTGTGCTGCTGCGGCTGCTGCTGGTGCCGGTGCAGTGTGTCTTGCTGCTGCTCCACGCGTGACTCCTTCTGTGCGTAGAAGCTCGTTTTGCATCTTCATTTTGTGTGCCTAGGTATTGTTATTAAATTGGCATCTCTGCCTTCCCTAACCTTTGCTGTTCCTCTGACTGTTCAGCGCTCCCGCCCTCGGTGGTTTGCTCGAGAGCAGGGCTTTGAGGGGCTGAAGAAGGCAACAGCAATAGTGCATCCAACAACTTCCTAGAGACTTGCCAAGCATATCAAATCCTCACCGCAGCATGAGGCCCAGTGTACAGCTGTGTGCATGGGTCTACGCATAGCGTATACACGCATTGCATTGACTGGTCGTTACTCCTGGGACTAGCTAAGCAGCTAGCTAGCTAGCTAGGGTACAGCAGTAGAAAATTCGCAGTGTTCACCACCCAGAGGCCCGTGCTACGATGGCAGTCCTGTTGGCGGCCGTTCCTATTGCATCACTTGCCTCTAGTTAACATGACGTGTCTCCGGACTGTACAGTCTATAGTATACTGGCCTTTTCCAATAAGCTGGAAACTGCTGCCCCTCAGCTAAGCAACAAGCCCCCAATGACCTCGACATGGGGGCTTCTAAGGACTAAAGACTAGTGCTTTGGGTCAAGGGTGCTTCAAATGAGACTTCGTAACGCATCGTTCAGATTCTCTATCTACTTTCGTGCGCACTTCGGATGCACACCCCGTCTGCGCATGCAGATTGCGTGCACAATACATAAACCTGCCCATGTGGAGTGTTTGCAGAGAGCAAACCTTGTATGCATCGAGTGCCAAGGTATAGCCACAGGCCAACAGTGGATCACTGCGGACTGTTCCCCTTTTCAAGCCCGTTGAATGCAAGCGATAGAAACCGTCAAAAGAAGAATCTAGCTAGACCCTGGGGCCGCAAGGTACGGGGCCCTGTCCATTACTGTTGCCACTCCCCCCACACGTGCGAGATACAGCTGACGCGTGCTGCGAGAGCTTTCCTCCCTTCAGTGCTCATGTGGTTGCTCCAGGCCGCAACAGAGGCCGGGGTAGGGGCACCCAAAGGAGATTCACTAAGGGAAACTTCTAGAATGCGATTTGCCTGAGGCAAACCCCCACTGTACGCCATAGGGGTCCCCGACGAGATGCAGCTCAGAGCGAAGAGACAATTTCCCGCCGTCTTAATGGCATCCTCAAGGAACCCTACAGAACAGAACAGCGACAGAGAAATGAGCATCCAACCGGATAATACTGGGTCATGTATACAGTCTCAAATAACAAGGCAAAGCATCTCGGGGCACATAAGAACCCTCGATACTGGAGCAAAACACGCATCAGCAGGGTTGTTGTTTCCGTACGCGCCAGTCCTTGTTTCCAGTCTTCTTTGCCTAAGGGGGCCCCGCTGAGGCTAATATGAAGCAGCGCCAGGCACCGTCTCACTTCAGGCGGAGCACACGCAGGCTGTTGCAACGCAGACGCAGCTGCTGCAGCACTCGATGCTGCTTCACCGCTGAGCGACAGGAGCTGGCGCTCCAAGTGTGCAGACACCAACGCTTCCGGATCCTCAGTTCGAGCACCACGCTTCTCCCCAGGTGCGACTGAAAAACCTGGTGTGCTATTCGTGCTGCTGCTGCCGGGGGTCGTAGCAGTGCTTGCAATGAGCTGGACGGCGGCCTCAAGAGTAGCCGCACATCGCTCCATGTGCAGCCCCGAGATTTGTTGCAGAAGCTCGGGTGTACAGGCATTGCTGCCACTAGCAGAAGCATATGATGGGGCAATGGAGAGGGCACGCGAAATAATGCGCACGGAGAGCGCCGCGAAAGACACAGCCAGAAGGCGAAAGTAAGAGGCCCTGCAGCAGAAAGCCAACAACACCAGCAGGCGTTGACACCAACAGCATATACGGAGACAGGCAAACTCATTGCACACTGAAATGCCACGGGGCAGTCCATATGACAAGCAGATAAGCAACGCAAAGATAAATTCGCAAAGGGAAGCACACGCAAAACACTCATCTACTTAATGCCACAAAGAAAGGCACATCAGGAAGGGCTATCCCACTCCCACGCATGCACGTGTGCATGCGTGGGATATATATATATAATATATATAT